TCATAGAGAAGAATGTAAATGCTTGTTTTAGTGAAGATGCTTTTAGCAACTGATCTAAGAAAGAATAGTCGTAATGTAATTGACCCGTTAAGATTTATCGCACGTAGTTTAATACTGACATTTTATTAAAATGAAAATCACTTATGCTGGAAACTCGTGCTGTGTTATGCATAGTTTAGATCTCTATATCATCCTTCTTATCATGATGAGCTTTCACATTGGTTATGTGGTGCCTTGATCGATCTTCTTTTTTCTTTCCCCAGTCATACCGGATTGCATAATGGTCACTGGACTTTGTTTTGACATTTTCATGCTCTGAATAGATATTTGCATGAGAATTGCCAAACCTTTGTTCTTGAATGCTTTATATTGTTGTTGAATCACTGTGCTTTTCACTTATTAACCAGCATAACTTTTCTTTGTGAAGTGAACCTTCTTTTGTTGCATAAAACCATTTGCTTCTTTGGATGCTTGTTTATACTTTTTTATATCTATTTATGCGAATAAGGTCATAATTGGAGTTTGTTGCTATTGATATAGTGCCCAGATACTAATTACTTGTTCATGGGAGATTATGTTGATCGTGGATATTATTCAGTTGAAACTGTTTCAGTAAGTACTTTCTTTCTTAAACTATCTATGCAATCAGCTTTCCTATTTAGATTGAGAGTCTTATGACTAGTCTCACTATTGAATTCTCTTCGGAGCATTTTCTTTGGAGAATCACGGCATACTCTTAGTGGTGTTAGTGGGTTATGTATATTCGCTTGTTTATAATTGTATTGATTGGAGGAATATTTTCAGCTCTTGGTGGCACTGAAAGTACGTTATCCTCAGCGGATCACAATTCTTAGAGGAAACCATGAAAGCCGCCAGGTAGTCATTTATCAAATTTAAGCAGTTTCGGATTAATGTTGCAACACTGCTTTAGTGCATTTCGAGTCTTCTCTAGCTTCACAATTTAATCTTGTGCTGATTCTTTCTTCCAAAGAGGTATCATCATTTTGGCCTCCTTGTTTACCTTCTTTGTGACATACATTTGTCTTATGTTCTTCAACCAGTCTTTGGTTGAGTCATTGGTTCTGATTTAATCCCATTTCATTTGGATTGCAGATAACTCAAGTTTATGGGTTTTATGATGAATGCCTGCGAAAGTGAGTTTCTTTCCATGTTTTTTAGGAAATTTGTGCAGTACATTTTGTACGTCTTTATGTTGATCATTTCTGTAAGACAGTTTCATTCTTCATATTCCATGCTTCTGTGCTACAAACTCACTTTGTTAAGACAGTCATGGGTTTGTCACTGTTTTAGATTGCCAATATTCAATATTATTTGATAGTAGGCCCTTGGCATTTGATAGATTGGTAATGTCTTTCGTGATATAATTGGTCTTATTTCAGGCCATAAAACAACGAGACCGTGTGAAGTTCTTTTGAAGTTCCTTAATGAATGTTTTCATGTGTTCACCACATACATGAAAAGATGTTGTGAATGAGTACCATTATAAGGGTTTGTACTCATTACTCAGTTATCTAGTGGGAGGTTTGGTGTCCCAGTATGAAAATTTTTGCTTATTTATTCGGTTGATTTCAGGTTTTATTTGGATGGGTGAATTTAATATAGACACTCGGAGACTTTATCTTTTGGGTTCTCAGGAGGGTATATGCTTTATTGCTTTTGTGGTCATATGTCGAGTTTTATTTTGGAACAAGTCAGTTGTCATCTTTCCTTAACATACTTGAAGAATGTACTCCTTTTTCTCTATTTCAGGTATGGTAATGCTAACGTTTGGAAGATATTCACTGATCTTTTTGACTATTTTCCACTGACGGCCCTGGTTAGTCTGAATATGTCTTTAAGCTGATGTCATACTTTCACCTTTTCGTATTTGGAAATGCATGGAAATATTGAGACATGTAAACCTTTAATCCATTTTTCTGGGCTGGGGGAGTTGAATTGAGCAAGACTGTTGAGACTTTTCCTGTGGGACAGTGATGCTGCCCTTTTGTCACGCCACGAGTGTTTTCCTGATTATTAGGATGATGCACTTACTATGGCGGAACTGCATATTATACGCATCACCAATTTAATGGAGTGTCCTTTTGCATCTTTGGCACCGTTATTGAAGTCTTCTTTTTTGTCACTTTGGATTGAAGTATTGCTACTTCGAACCTGCTCTCTCACCAAAAGCAGTGCATGTTTGTGTCCTAGAGTTTAAGAATACCAAAAAGAAAAGGTGATACAGAACCTTCTAATAATTTTTCCAAGCTTTTGTTGTTGTGCAACCCCGTGTCTATAACGAGGAATGATCCTCACGAAAAGTAACTATAAGTATAAACAGAAAAGCGGTGTATTCTGTTCTAGAGCTACCTAGCAAAAGTACTTGGTACTGAAATTTAGGTTTTGATAAAGCTGTTTGCCATCATATTTGATACTTAGGGTGTGTTTGTTTTCATGAAAAAAAAATTCACGGAATGATTTTCCAAACTTTATGTGTTTGGTTCGCTAAAAGTGGATAATAAACAGAAAGCGTTTATGGTCAAGAAAAACAACCATACTTAAAATAGAGGACAATGATTTCTCCATCCTAAAAAGAAGAAATTGTTTTCCTAAGCTCCTTTTCCCGAGCTCCTTTACTGTCAAGGAACCAACTGTAATTATAATGGAGAGAATAATTTTTGGAAGTAAGGTGTAAGTTTGAAAAGTTTTTATGCTTCTCACATCAAGTATACTACTGAACAATTGAAACCAGCCATTTTCCTTATGAATACTTTTCATGTATAACATTTGCCTCCTTCAAGAATTTATTCGTGAAACAAACGCAACCTAAAAACCCGATTCTGGTGGTTAATTGTCTGGGACGTTTTTGTCTAATCTGATATGAGAAATGAACTTTGAATAGTTGATACATTTGTCTTGTCCTAGAATTTTTCTGTAGACTTTAGCAGTTCACATGCCGAGTATTGTGGATTTACTTGCCTTCTGCCTTTTTTGTCCTGACAAGATGGTTGAGTAATCGCTGATTTGGAATTTTCTTGATCAGCCTCGCTGTCCCAAAATTTGGTTCTCATGTAATCAAGTTCATTATTCTTTATTTTTGTTTTTGCTTTGAAGGTTGAATCGGAAATTTTTTGTCTGCATGGTGGGCTGTCCCCATCTATTGAAACCCTTGACAATATACGTAATTTTGACCGTGTTCAAGAAGTTCCTCATGAGGGCCCTATGTGTGATCTCCTATGGTCTGACCCAGATGACCGCTGTGGTTGGGGTATCTCACCCAGAGGTGCCGGTTATACCTTCGGTCAGGTTTGTAGTATTTCATTTTTGCTATGTCTTCTTTTTTCCTACTTGTCATCTTCCACAACCAAAGTATTCAATCGTGAGCCATAAAGTTCGATGTTGTGTTGGATTGCTTTTGCAGGACATATCTGAGCAGTTTCACCATACAAATAATTTGAAGCTAATTGCTAGAGCTCATCAGTTGGTTATGGAAGGATATAACTGGGGTCATGTAATTGCTTCCCTTCAAGCTGCAGTTTTTTTTATTTGAATTTGTAATTACGATGCTTATGAAAAATAAATCATGTGATCTTGACAGGATCAAAAAGTGGTTACTATATTCAGTGCACCTAACTACTGTTATCGCTGTGGTAACATGGCATCCATCCTGGAAGTCGATGATTGCAAAGGCCACACATTCATTCAGGTCTCTCTCTCTCTCTCTCTCTCTTTCCATATGTGCGTGCAGGCACTAAAGTGCATGCATGCAGAAGCAAGGTGCAATGGCTATAAAGAGAATTTGACATGCAATACTTGAACTAATATAATGGACTTCTTAACTTCGCAGTTTGAGCCAGCTCCAAAGAGGGGAGAGCCAGATGTAGCTCGCAGAATGCCGGATTATTTCCTTTGATGTAGTGGGCTTCGGATAAGCATATCTTGTCACTGGTGCATACTTCCTTTCAAATGAGCTTGGGCTGGCCATTGAATTTTCAAGAGCTGGAGCTTCTGAATGACGGTGCCTGCTGGGGTAGAGGCATCTAAAATGTCACTGGCAAGGCTTTGGATTGAAAAGAAGGGCAACCGTGCAACAGCAACTTGTAATTGTTTTCTTTTTCTCCTCTATTTTCTTAGTTTTTGACGTATTTTGTCTTCTGGGAAGACTGGCAGGGAGATCGGGCTTGTAGAGGGAGATGAGTTTACTTTTCTTCAAATGAGTGATTTTCTTTGCCTCCCTTGTCAGTCCCTTTGGCTTTAGTTTTGATGTACGAATGTTCTGAGCTTAATTAAATGTGCAACTAAATTGAGAGAAAACAGACTCTTAGAAAGAAACTTATATTATCTGTCAGCCAATGCGGATTTCATAGGGAATGATATTCGGATTTCGAATTTACAACAATCGATAGATGCAGGTCTTTGCTGTGACCAGGATTGACAATGGTCGGTCGTTCCCCATTATTATAGACTCTCTCGACTGACTTTGCTAAGTGTTGTAATTTATGTCTAGATGCTGAAACAGCTGAAAGTGTGTTGCATGGTTCTTTACGATCAAAGCCTTGTATTATCATCTTGAACCTGTGCACACATTGGCATCATACTCAAGCAACAGATGCAGGTCTGACTCCTGCAAAAGCACGAACTATATCAAAGTAGCATCCCTTAATTTTACCCGAGTCAATAAGTGTAAACATAACGCCAGTAAAAGGAGGAAAAACGCTGCATAAAAGTTATTTTACTTGGCAAAGATGGAAACATGTCATTACAATGGCAAGAATCCTTTGATATAATGCAGTTCAGTGGCAATGTCGTACTTTAAGTCAACCAAAATAATAATCCTTGCCCCAAATCAGCAATATAATACGAGCGAAAGTTTAACCCCTGGTGAACTGTCTCATCTTATCACATCAGTTCAAATTTCCAATCGTAGTAAGGTATACAGTGAAATTTGCAATCCTACCACATAATAAATATGCTGAACTGAGTCGGTTTCAATTCAACCGTGGTGGAAAATCCTTCTGAGAGAGCTTTACATTCGAATGTTCATTTGAGTTTGAGGATTTACATAAAATATAAAACAATATAAAAGATGAGAAATAATTTCTGTTGATCAGTCGTCCCGCCTCAAAATGAATGTTGTGGGCTTAAATGCGGCCAACACTACTGCGACTTTACACGCGATAAATCCAATCATCCCAGCAATGAGCTCTTCCGACGTTAATGCCGCAGGAGCCTGACCTGAGCTGTACTTGAATACTCCGAAAACAACAGCTGCTGCCAATGCCAGAGTTGTTATGGGACCCTTCAACCGACGAACTGCTTGATCAACAGAGTTCCTGGAGATTGTTGCCGGAGTGGGCAATTCGTCTACAGATCTTTGCAATATCAGCAGATAGACAAATCCTCCAAGCCCACCAGTTAAGAATGCGAGAGCAGCTTTCTCACCCGCTGAAACAGACGCAACTGTTGTGCCGACAGAGACCAGTATGGCATCGTAGACTAACAAGGAAAGCTTCAGATCTGCATATTCCTGCATGCTTTCCTCATTAGACATTTCAGGACTAGGAGAAGTCGATTCCCGCGTGCTATTGCTCAACAAGGTGAACGGATCTCCAGACGATTCCGTGACAAGGGAAGGTCTAAGTTCGATCATGGAACTATCACTTCCCTCCCCGATTAAAATGTCCTCAGCTTCAAAATCATACTGGTAACCCCCAAACTGTATTTCTTTTGCAGTGTGCTCCTCCAATGACGGTTGATGTGCATGAATAACAGAGAGAGTGACACCACCTAATCTCCATTGGCCTGATCTCAAAAAAAAAAAAGGAAGAGAGAGTTAAAATTGACAACAAGATCATAAAAAAGATAGGGATAAGTGCACTAGAAGTCTTAAAACTTGTCATGAAAGTGCAATTGAGTCCTAAAACTTTCAAAAAATGCGATTAAGTCCTAAAACTTGTCACGAAAGTGCAATCAAGTCCTAAAACTTTTAAAAAGCGCAATCAAGTCCTAAAACTTATCACGAATGTGCAATCAAGTCCTAAAACTTTCAAAAAGTGCAATCAATGGAAGGACTTGATTGAACCAATTTGACAAGTTTTAGGACTTGTTTGCACTTTTTGAAAGTTTTAGGACTCAATTGCACTTTCGTAACAAGTTTTAGGACTTAATTGCATATTATGAAAGTTTTAGGACTTCGTTGCACTTTCGTGATAAGTTTTAGGACTTTCAATGCACTTATCCCAAAAAGATACAAAGCTGATGCTGTTAGAAAAGTTAAGTAGTATGACATGCTTTCTTGACCAACGGGAAGACATTCCTTGCAAAATCATTAAAAGGACATGCTAGTGAAGTTCAACAATCATAGCAACATAGTGCATCAAATGACTAGCTGTTGATGTTTACTAATGGAAAGTTGACACGCTGAGTAACCGCTCAAACCTAAACTGTCCAGATTTACTCAACATATATAACTGTAGACCTATGATAGTTCTCACTCATTGAAACTGCTGCAAGGATAATAACCAATGGAATGTCTATATATATACACATGTAGGAATATATTGTCCTTTCATCAATGTACAGCAATTCCAGGGTAGGCAAACCTGATTCAAGACTAATCCAGAGAGCTTGAAGTCTTCCCAGCTTGGGTCCTTTAAAAGTGAATTCATCGACAGAACCTCTTTGAAAGTGGAGAATGTCATGATCAACTTTCTCTTGCCATTCCACTGAAAACTCAGTCATTGGAGTTGCAGATAGCCTCTGTAATAACGAATGTCCATGTTCATCGATTAAGCAGAGCAGAATTCCAGCATTGGCATCAGTTAAACCTGAACCATACATCCTACTAGTATGTAGCTTAATCTTGTACAAGGATTGAGACTTGCCAACATCGTCAAACATCATTTTCTCTTCTTCTGAGTGTCCTGAGAAGAACTTAATCTCTGTGGTTGGAAAAAGACGGGAAGGTTTTGCATAGTCCTGAAAATCTAAATCCAGAATAAATTCCAAAAGAAAGGAGTAAACATATGGCCAAGAAAAACAGAATATAAGCAATTAGAATATCTAAATATTTTGAATATCTGTTAATCCAAATTGCAAATAAGTTAGGACCTTGCCAAGAGAAAAGCAGTGGTTATCATTGACAGAGGAAAAGTTAAAAATGTGACACCCTTATGATTTAATAAACAAGAGATCCTTTCAAGGTTTTGGCTTAAAAAATTGCAAAGCATCGAGCAACAATGTCCTACGTTCCATGAAGACCTGCCACTGGCTAAGGGAACAAAAATAGAAACGTGAAAGTAGGATGTTGGCCCTACTTCTCATTACCACTTGCTAACCAGTATATTTATAGAGTTCATATCTGCCAACAAAGGGAAACGTCACGCCTAAAAAGTTTATAAAAGTAATATATCCTTTCTTCCTCAAGACTACACCACAAAGACGATTGATTAAACATCTGAAGGGCCGGTTGATATAGAGGTCCCCTATTGAGTGTTTGACTGCAACTTTAGTCATACAAGGCTTCAGCTACAAAGAAATGTGCACAGTGCTTCAAGGCTTCTAATATTAGCTCTGCATTCTCTTACATGATCTTTTCCAGACAATACAGAGGGGAGATGTTGAAGACAGACACACTTTGCACAGATGAAGGCCCCTTATTTCCTATTATTTGCCGCTTTTTGAAGAGAGTATGCCAGTCATTTAAAACATTTTTTATTGTCAAGGGTGAAGAAAGAGCCAAGAAGGGTGTGGAACTAGGGGCTCCTAGGGGAAAAAACCGGCCGGCCCGCCTCATCCAGCAACACAATAGTACACCTCATGGAAACCCCTATACTATTTTGAAGATAGTTGAAGCACAGTTCATGCCACATATGAAAACATAACTACAAGAAGGCGGCAACTGAAGCAATCCTAGCGTAGCTTTCAAAATTCTAAAGTATCACAAATGCGGACAGACCTAAAGAGAGTTGTTACTGAGTTCCACATCAGAGCCAACTGAAAAAGCTATGACAAACTCTTCACACTGTAAAAGCAGGACATTTTATAGGATTTACCAAAGAGCAATGCCAAACTTACCAGCACTGGTTTATAAAATTGGTCTACTGAGAGTTGCGTGAGATAGTAAGTAGCCCTTTAAACAAATGGGCCATATTCAAGAACAATAACAGTACGAGACATCACAATTTTGTAAACCAGTCTTCAAAAGTGTAGCATTTCCCTTTACCAAACTAACTTACACCGAGTCCTCAGATTTCCCAGAATGAAAAATGGCTCTATTCTACTAAAGATCACAGTCATCTGTAGTTTTCAAGTCAAGCCAAGCTAAATCTCCAGAATTCTCGGTATCTGCAATCTTTTCACTTCGATTCCAGAGAGAAGTTCAACAGAGAGGAAAACATCCACCGCAAATAACATGAATCATGGAAGCTCCAAACACCCAGATTCAGATTAAGAACTGCCACAAAGCACGACACATGGTCGAATCCGAAAAAACCATGAGGTCGAGCGAATTACAAACTGGAGCCAACAACGCCACAAACATCGACCCTCGACGCCACTCGCTGGCGGGTTCTCGAGAATTAGCCGAACGACTCTTCCCATAAGAGGGTTGAAACAGACGGACACGAACGAGGAGGATGACCGGTTGGTGAGGAAAATTTTACCTTGGAACTTGGACAGCTTGCAGCGTACGGCGTCACAGCAGCCGCCGCGGCAGCAACCGCTCCGGCGGCGGCGGCGGAGCGGTACGGCGAGTGGGCTTACTCCGATGCCCCCACGGCCGCCGTAGCCATGTACTGCGCCAAAAGCGTTTCTTGGCGCAACTATCTCCATTGCTGCAATCTTGATGCGAGCGAGAGAGAGAGAGAGATGCTACAGAGGCAAAAGAGAAAGGGGGAAAAGAGACGGGAGATTTTCCAGAGAGGAAATACCGGACTACGTCGTTTCGCACATGCGTGCAAAGTGAAGCCCAAAAGGCCCATTCACCATCGCTACCTTAGGACTTAGGAGTCGAACCAATAGGACTCTTTTACCCCAAAAGTTAGCTTAAACGTTGAGGCTGACTTTTCCTCGTACTTATAAATCGATCATCAAAGGACAACCTCAACAACAATTTACCCCTCACACATCGGGGCCTGAGTAGGAGTCATAACAACTTGTAATTCTCTCGTGTGACTATTATGTCCAGATTTGTTTGTAACCTAGGCTCTGATACTAGTGTTGAATGGTCTTGGATTTCTCTCATCCTAAAAGTTAGCTCAAAGGGTGACGTTTTTCCTCGCACTTATAAAGTGATCACTAGACCATTCCACAGTCGATATGAAACAACCTCAACAATCTTTCCATCATACATCGAGCTTGGATCGAAGCCACAAACATATATTAGGGTTTTGTAATTTGTGTTTATCATTGATTTATTTGCTTACGTTTATTATATATTATAATTGTAATCATTGGCTTATCTTATCTATATAATAAATTTATCTTGGGTATTTTATTGAAAAGGGGGGTTTTTGAGCATCAATGATGTGTACTTAGTTAATAACTCTTTCTTTTAACTCCTAAGAAATAGGAATTTCTCATGTCCAAACCGTACAATTTCAACTAAGGGTTTCAAGTGAAGCCGTTTTCTTAAAAGAAGGCTTGGAGTGGGGGCTCGATGTGCACTTAATTAATAATCCTTTTGATTTGCTCAATATAGAAAAAGAGGGTGACTTAAACAATCTATGAACTTTGGTTCAGTGTGCAATGTGGTTCCTTAACTTTTAATTTGTTCAATATAGTCCCTGAACTTTCTCTCAATGTGCAATGTGGTCTATGAATTTTTATTTTCATATAGCCGATGAACTAAATTGAACATATACCAAAAGTTCAGAGACCTTATTAAACAAATTAAAAATTTGGAGACCACATTACATATTAGGCTCAAAGTTCGGGGACTATTCGTGTAACTGCCACTATACAAGTATAAGTGAGGTAGCATTATTTTAATTAGGATTAATATCACGAAAAAACCCCAAACTGGTACAATTGTAACGAATTTATCCTAAACTAATTTTTTAACCACGAAAAATCTTAAACCGGTACACCTGTGACAAATCTACTTCAAACTAATTTTTTGACAGCCAAAAATCACTTGTACACTCGTGACAAATTTACCCTCCGTTAAATTGGATTGATACAAAAAAAATCACAAACCAGTAGACATGTGACAAACGGCGGGTAAAACCCCAAACTGATATATTCATCAATTGCTATGTCTTTTAATAGTAAAATTCAATGAAAATCAAGGAAGAATAAATTTATGTATTAATTTTAAATTTTTTATAATAAAAAAATTAATTTATAATAAATTTATTATAAATATATTAATTTGAGATTTTTCGATATATCAATTCTTTTAATTATGACACCTGACGTGACCCGCCCTGGTTGGCAGGGAAAGAAACCAAAGTGTGTATTTTTCCCATGCTTTTGTCCTCCTACTCTGGCTGCTCACAATTGACTTCTCTTTATTTGTCTTTAGTCAAATCTTGTCCCGTGTTCTTGTCATCCTAATTATTCCAGCAACCACAGCAGAAATATCCATAGCGTATCAGTGACATGTTCATCTGAAATGTCGATCGATGAGAGTTTATGAATTTTAACGTAAGCGTTCGCACCTCCTATTGTATTTGTAACTCATATGTTATGTTCGTATGTAAATTGGATTGGTTATGTTGATGCATATCCATCTTGTGTATCTATAGAATATAAGATATATAATCGAAAGACATCATGTGCGTGCATCGAACATAGACTGTTATTTGGATACCATAGGCAACAAGTGCCACGGGGGACAAATCGCTGCATCAGGAGAGCCACCTCGAACCTTATTAGGACAAAGCGCTACACGGCAATGGCGAGACCATGGAGGCCGCTTCTAGAGTCAAACTTATGCGACCGCCGACCGCCTGTGTATATTGATGGGATGAAATATACGATACGCATGATCGATATTCATTTGTATGACCCGCGCTACCTATTCCTAGGAGAGATGGTGGACTACTCGGAGATTTGCTTAGATTGGAAGCTGAGTGTCAATTTCAGGATCTTTACAGTTGCGAGATATTTTGCTGGTGGTGTACTTAAAAACAGGGGAGAGCACCCGTTGACCATGTTGTGATTCGCCAATGCCAATGCTTTTTTGTATTAGTCAATGCTAAAATGGAGGCTATAATATACTCGAGAGATATAGTGAGAATCTTGTAATTTACCAATTCAGTTCTAAAATTAATTATATCGATATCAATTCAGTTTTAAAATTTTTAATTTTACAAATTTTTTTATTGGAAATTTTTGCCAAAATTTTTTTTGATCGAAAATTTTGCCAATTGAGTATTATATATTTTCTCGAAATTCCAATGTAATTTGGCTAATGACTGAACCGATACGTTAGCAATGTCTATCAAAACTTAACTAGAATGACTAAATTAGCAAAAACCGAATGTTTAGGATTGAAGTTGCATCGGTGCAATAAGTTAGGACCGATTGGATAATTTTCCCCTATATATATCAAACACTTTTACCATTTGAAGTATTACCTGAAGTATTCACCCAATTTGTTCTCTCTTGTCACGAAATCCAGTGAAAATCCTCACCAGCATCTAGTTATCTGCAATTTTCCTCTCTTTCTCTGCTATCTTATTAACATTGATTCAAAAACCTCATTTATCTCCAACACGATAACACCCCTCTCTTCATGTTTTCAATTAAGTTTATATCTTATCGGCATTGATTTGAAAACCTCGATTTTCTCTAACGCGATAACGCCCATCTCTTCATATTTTCAATCGAGTTCATTTGTTTTGAATATTTTATTATGAGAAGGCCTCTCTCTTCATCTGAAGCATATAAGCCGGACACATTTACATCGTCGGACAATGTGGATCCATGTAAGACGCACAATCCGACGTATCACGTGCATCGTGCCTACTGCACCGGATGCGTACGATGACTTCCTGCGTGATCCGCACATATAAGCACCTTCTTCGTATGAGAGCATGCAATATCACACACTACTGCTGGTACGTTGGTTTTGGCCGACCAATCCTATTGGCTAACGTTACATAAAGGGTCTTAAACAGAAAGCATGAGGACCCATTTAATTCGTGAAAATGCTCTTTGTTTTACTTTTTCAATGAAGATAAAAATGAAAATACTATTATGTACCCACCCATGGATAGCTCAGTTGGTTAGGACGTACTAGAAATTGTGTGGTTAGGCGCATTGGTCCCAGGTTCGATTCCCCAGTTGAGCACTTGTGATTTAAGTGGGGGGCCATGGCGGTGGGTTGCTGTGCTAGTCTCCCCCGAGGAATAGTCGAGGTGCGCGCAAGCTGGCCCGGACACCTCGGTTACCAAAAAAAAAAAAAAAAATACTATTATGTAAAAGGTCAATGTTTATCCAAGTACATGAAATCTGATATAAGAGATTTATTTTAATCAAATCTTAGAAGAGAGAGTCCCCAACAGAAAAGCTCAAATATGTTATTGTATACAAAAATTTCAGTATTAACTTTTCTTCTTTTCTTTTTGGGTTCATATGTTAAAAATCCAAAATCCTAACCCACGACACATTTATGACAAACTAATTTTTGTCTCACGAAAACATTCAAACTGGTACTCAAATTTCTAATACGATACTATTTCGCCCAATATATCGATAAAACTCATACGTATCACTGCACGTGAAAGACGACTATGAGACCGATCTGATGTGGAGAATGACATGTCCGGTATAAAAAAAAGGTAAACTTTTTGGCTCGAGAATGCCGGTTTGAGATTCGACCAAAAAAAAAAAAAGAATGCCGGTTTGAGATCTTTAGTGAAAAAAAAATTATTTTAAAGTATTCGCATGTCATGAAATAACCGGTTTCAGGTTTTTGTGAGACGAAAAATAAATTTATTGTAAATGTGTTAGGGGTATCAATTTAGGAGTGTTAATAACATTAAACCTTTTCTTTTTCTCCATTCATTTAGTTGAAGATGCTTAAGGAACTTCGTTCAAACTAACTTCCCCTAAAGCCAAAGCCCCGTAGATCGTGTGCGGTTGGGAATGGCTTTGGGAAGCTACTTTGGGCTAAAATTTGGGGTTTGAGAAATTTTTTTCACAACTCCATTGAGAGAAAGCCAGCCTGGGCTTTCAGCTTTCTCGGCATGCAACAGTGCCGATTAAGTAGAAAAGATTTCTTCCAAAACTACCCTCATCTATTTTTTGATTTTTCGGTTTTAGCCTTGTCTTTCACTGGTCATCCTCTTCTTCGTTTACCTCGGCCGGCGTGGTTGTGCGGGGATGGCGATGGGTCGGCGTGGTTGCACAACCCAGCGACTGTCTCCTGGGGTCACATGATCATCGCGATGGGCCACGTGACCCAGGCGAGGGCCACCTGAGGTCATGCGACCTAGACGGCCCTCGCTGGGAACTCACACAACCTCGAAGAGGCGATGCGTGATTCCGGCTGAGGTCGTGCCACCCAGATGACTCTCGAGGGTCGCCAGGGACCCAAATTTGGCGTCGTGCAGCCATCGTCTAAGGCTGAACGACCTCAAGTAGCCCACGGTGACCACCGACGAAGGCCTCCTAGGGTCGAGCGACCCCCAACGAGGGTCGCGAAACCTGGGCAAGGGTTGCCGGCGACCTAGATTTGACGCCGCGCGGCTGTCGTATGAGGCCGAACGACGAAGGCAGCCCCGGCGACCACCGACGAGGGCCACCCCGCCTGGGTTTTGCGACCCTCATCGGGGGTCGCTCGACCCCAGGCGGCCCTCGTTGGTGATCGTCGAGGGCTGCCTGAGGTTGTTCAGCCTTAGATGATGGCCACGCGGCCCCAGATCTGGGCCGCCGGCGGCCGCCTGCCTTTCACCGGCTCCGGCGAAGGATTTCAACTTTTCTTTAATAAAAAATAAAAAAAAGTACCTTATAAGTATAATTTTTCAAACGCTATTTTACCAAAATTTATTTTACAATAGACTTTTAAGTTATAACTTACCCAACACAATTTGTATTTTGAAAAATTCTTTTAAGTTAAAGTCCTTTGCATTTTAACTTTTCCCCAAATATTCTCAAGCACAGCCGAAGATGACGTTGAAGCTTTTATTGCATATAAGACAACTCAGGTTGTTTGCAAAGTTACAGAAAGTCAGGCTGAAAAGGAGAAAACGCTTTACCCTGGGTAATCAATGCAAATATTCTTATTTGGCGCCAATTGGATTCGACCAAAAAAAAAAATTTCGAAATTATATTAGAGGAGGTAAATTTTGTGGTGACTTCAGACAATAAATATTATAGATAAACAAGAAAATCAATAACTTTACTTCAACTAAAATTGTAAGTATACAAATTGTGCCGAAATTTAATCGATGATAAAGTTTGGAAATATAGTCATTTTAACGGAACCAAACATACACAAATTATATCGAAATTTAACCAACGACAAAACTTGAGAACAAAGATGCAACACCAGAATTTTTTTGAAGATGTGGATTCGGAAAATACTGCTAAAAAGTACGCTAAAATTTAATCGACGACGCATGTTTGGAAACTAAAAGTACTATGTAGGAAAGTAAAGATAATTAAAAAATTGCATGTTTTTTTGTTGTGTGGAGGGGTCTCCAGTAGACGAACCCTCGTATATATAGTAATTGTGTCATGTCATGTTCCCTTGTCTTCGAAAATCTTGTGCCTATGCTCTCACGATACCATGATTTTGTCTTCGGGCAGTTGCTCCCTTAAAATATCGTTTTGGTTACTTCATGACTTCGTGCATTGCTTCATTCAAACATCGTCATATACCGACGCCATCGACCTAGGGGTGCATCACCTAGGGTTTAGTTATTGGAATATTAAGCCTAAACTTGCTCTCTTAAGTCAAATCTTATCAACTCGCAACTTAGGTTCAAGTTTTTAACATACAAGAACTAGGATGGTTCGGATGGAGCGCTGCCAAGGGCTCAGCCACGGGAGGTACTACCGACACCATCGGCTTGGGCAGCAGTACATTAGGGGGTTCGTGGCACAGCAATAGGACCACGATGACTTGGTGATGCTCGACCAACCAAGTGGCTTCACACTTCAACAAGCAGCAACATCACGGAGGTTTGTCATCACGGGATCGGCTCGAGGAAGCAGTGGTGTCAATCGTGGCTGGAGGGTAGCGGCTCTGTGGCGATGGAAGCAGCGGCTAGCGTCGGTGCTCGAGCAAGACGCGGACGAAGGTGGTTCGGCCGCGAGTCCTCCTCCTCGTTCTTTCTTTTCTCTCTCAAGTGTGTTCTCTTTGTATTTTATGAGCGCTCTATGATGTGTCGAAAGAGATGGGTCCCTTTATATAGAACTAGGATTTAGAGTAAAATTCCCAATTTTAAATTCTAAGAGATACACTTTACTAATATGAAAGCTTTTATAATCTCTTAGATTCCTGATAATATCAAACCAAATTGAACAGTTATCCTTTAAGATTTGAATAATAATCAAGATTAATTGCTCAATACTCATGGGCTTGGCCAAATTTTTCTCACAGCGGGCTTAGTCCAATTAGCATAACTTAAGCTCGGAACCCTCCTACGCTTGTCCATAAGCTTCAATGCAATTATATGCAAATGCTCCAAACATCTTTAACTAATATTTTTTCGTTAGGTGTCGAGGCCTATCGCTAATATATAAGTGGATCGTCAAAATTTAGGTGTCAACAATTGATATACTTAAATACCGATAACAATTCTTATGCTCGTCGACAATGGCTCACGTGTTTAATAATATAACCTGTATCGATACCGACAACCTGGGCCAAAATTTTGGCGCAAACGATTCCTAAGGATTCTTCTTACCAAAAACATTTTTGTATGTGTCGTGCTTTTTTCCCTCCCATTATGGCTAAAACACTCCTTATCATAATATTTTGACAATATTAACCTTTATGGTCCCATCCTTTTTTCAAGTATTTTTTTGTTTGCTTTGTGGTGTCCTGTTTGTTTTCCTCCATCTTTTCTTGTGGTTCCATTTTCCTCATCTTCCTTCACTTCTTTCCGTTCCCTTTGAATTTTGATCATATGGTTTGAGCCTTGGTAACATCTGTCATAAAAATTACAGAGAGCATGGGTGAATTCGATGACCGAGAAAGGCGCGGAAGTAAGAGAGACCGCGGGGGTGAGGAGGCGCAAATCCTTGCCAATCTTAAGGATGGGATTGTCGTTCTTGAAGGTAGCATTTTTGGTTTGCGTAAACAACATAGTGAGAGTAGGGGTAGATTCGAGCCATAAATCTGGAGGCTAGTAGGTGATGGTGAATCGCCGATGACGGTGACGATCAGAACCAAGAAGATGAAGATAGAGAAGCGGACATTGCCAATAACCTTGATGAGGATTTCGGTGAGGACCTCAGCTCCTGGGTTTGAAACTTTAATGGGGTTTTTCTTGTCTTCATGATCGATCGATCGAAAAGTTTGATGTGAAATGGGACAACAAATAACACAGAGAGCGAAAGTGATGGAATGGGGTTGAAGAATGAAGAGATATGAGATGAGTTTTTCACGGTTGAGCTTTGAGTTGAGGAAATGGAGATGGAAGAGGACTAGTTGAGTGACGAGGAGCTTTATGCAAATCCGGGCTTCAATTCCGTGAGTTGCTTGTGTTGTGTTACGGTGATGGAAGTAATTACAAGGAAATAATCTACATTTGATGGTTGAATTTGAACAAAGGGGGTAAACTACGAGACTCACACATACATCTTAACTCTTGTCGTGCACCCAAAAAAGCATATTGCAATAGCAAATAGTAAGTGTTTATTGAGAAAAATAACAAGAAGCAATCCAATTACGTAACGAGTTAAAACACAAGAGGTAAATTACAAGGCTCACACGTACATCTCAACTCATGTCGTGCACCCAAAAAAGCATATTGCAATAGCAAATGGTAAGTGTTTATTGAGAAAAACAACAAGAAGCAATCCAATCACGTAACGAGTTAAAATGCAATTGAGAAATTCTATCAGAAATTCACTGAAACTAAAGATTTCGTCACCCCATATCCAACTTTCAAGTTTAACGAACAAAGAAACCGAGTGTAGAAAACAAAGTTATGAGATGCAAAGAAAATTTTAATGACCGAGCCTCACTTTCTTTCGGTAACGATTAAACTCGAACTATGATCTCAAAATTTCAAGTTCGAATTCAAAGAATGCACAGAGAAAGAAGTAAGGCTGCGTTTGGTCATCTAGATTTCTAGTCAGGATAAAACTGAATAGGATAGGATATGAAATCCAATGGATTTACTATATCCTATCTACTGTTTGGTGAATCGCGAAAATAAAGCCGGATAATTTCACATCTTATCATGTCCATTATTTGCTATGAACATTATATCAGCGTAAATGAATCTAAAAATTGCACAAATGAAGATGATAAAAATCTCTCACGACACTCTTACCTATTTCATTTTTATTTGCTTATTTTTTATTATCATTTTTCCCTCTCTTTTTTAATTATTTTGTTTTTTTATTTATTTTTTCCCCTTCCGTCATTCTCTAATAAAATTTTATTAAATAGTAAACTATACTAATATTCCTAAAATATGTAATGAATATAAATACATTAGTATTGATTTATATATATGAAATTTATATACTATATAAATAAGAATAAGAACAACTAAAAACAAAATTGTTGTTTTTTTTGTTATTTTGAATTTTTTATATTAAAATTCAAATATTATTTATATTCAAATATTATTTTAATTTTATCAATATAACAAGTTAGTTATTCGAGAAAATTAACTTTTGTATTATGGTTATTAGAAATCCTATCCACCTTTATCCCACCTCTCCCATGAGATAATTTTATCTGGGTTATATCCTTTTTATATCCGACTTTATCCTATCTGGAGCATAACCAAATACGAGATAGGATAAAATTTATCTTATCTTGAATTTTATCCCGACTACTAAAAATAGCATAACTGGACTCAATTCCACTTGCATAGCTCGCTACATCAAAAACTCTTCTAATATTGGTACGAGAGGAGTCGTTTTAGAAAGAGAGACAACAAAGAGAAATAAACGAAAAGAAGGAAAGTGGGACGGTGACAAAAGAGAAAGAAGAAAAGTAATTAAAGCATGATAAAGAAAAAGGTGGGGCCCACAAAGATTAAAGAAACATTACCATAGGGAGTATCTTAGCTATAACGGGAGTTAAAAAAGTGCTGATCCCTTTTGTATTTGGAGATGTTCCGGAAGTGGAAAAACGCAAAGAACATGGAAACTTTTCTCTATCCAAAGACGGGATCCCACAAGAGAGATTTCTCGTATGGTGTTGATGTTGACAGCTTGCTTCTCGTGTGACGTGGATCGGAGGAGGAGGAGGAGGAGGAGGATGAGATAGACGGATGAGGGAATAATAGATTCTTGCGGTTTTTGATTATTCAAGATTCTCGATCCCCTTTCGTCTTCTTCTGCTTTCGATTCCGTTCACACCAGCGATTCATGTAATATAAAAGTCAATCTCTTCCTGGTTTCTTGGAAAGAGAAGATCTTCTACCCAAGTTCCAAAACTTCAGCTCCACGTCCCTATGGAACCGGAGATCCAGCGGCGGAACCCGAAACCTTCACCGGAGAAGGCCCCTCATGGGCCGGACGCCGCTGCGGGCCTCCCTGTCGTCGCGGGGCCGGCGGCGGTGGGAGGCACCGCGAAGAAGCTGACCCTCATCCCCCTCATCTTCCTCATCTACTTCGACGTTGCGGGTGGCCCGTACGGCGAGGAGCCGGCGGTCCAGGCGGCCGGGCCGCTGCTGGCCCTTGTCGGGTTCCTGGTTTTCCCGTTCATCTGGAGCGTCCCGGAGGCCCTCGTGACAGCCGAGCTCTGCACGGCACTCCCCGGCAACGGGGGGTTCGTGCTGTGGGCCGAGCGGGCGTTCGGTCCCCTCTGCGGCTCCCTGATGGGGACTTGGAAGTTCCTGAGCGGCGTCATCAACTTGGCATCCTTCCCGGTCTTTTGCATAGACTACGTCGAGAAACTGTTCCCGGTCTTCGAATCCGGGTGGCCACGGAACGTCGCGATCCTGATATTTACATTGATGCTGTCCTTCCTGAATTACACCGGCCTGACGATCGTGGGCTACACCGCCGTTGTATTGGGCATTGTTTCTCTGATGCCCTTCCTGGTCATGTCTTCGATCGCGATCCCAAAGATTCAGCCTCACAGGTGAGTACATGGAATTTACTGTTACATATGGTCGTTGAACTGAAATTGTAACTGAGTTTGGCAGCTTCTCAATGTCAGTGATGTAATGATGCATAAAATACTTTTTCGGCGCAGGTGGCTTAGCTTGGGACAAAAGGGGGTGAAGAAAGATTGGAACTTGTACCTCAACACCCTCTTTTGGAACCTCAACTTTTGGGATAGTATCAGCACTATGGCAGGGGAAGTCGACAGGCCACCAAGGACCTTCCCTGTGGCCCTCCTTGTGGCCGTGATCTTCACTTGCGTGGCCTACCTGATCCCGCTCTTCGCCGTTACCGGCTCTGTCTTGGTGGACCAGAGCCAGTGGGAGAACGGGTTCATGGCCGATGCGGCGGAGATCATCGCCGGGAAGTGGCTCAAGATATGGCTTGAGATTGGGGCCGTCCTGTCGGTGATTGGGATGTACGAGGCCCAGCTCAGCAGCAATGCGTTCCAGCTCCTGGGCATGGCGGATTTGGGGATCTTGCCGAGGGTCTTCGCGGCCAGGTCCAAATGGTTCAACACTCCCTGGCTGGGGATAGTGGTGACCACGGCCCTCACCCTCGGGTTCTCCTACATGAACTTCACCTCCATCATATCGTCGGCGAACTTCCTGTACAGCCTGGGGATGCTGCTGGAGTTTGCGTCCTTCCTATGGCTGCGGAGGAAGATGCCAGCGCTGAAGAGGCCGTACCGGGTCCCGCTAAGCCTGCCGTGGCTGACGGTGTTGAGCCTGGTGCCGTGCGGGTTCCTGGTGGTGATCCTGGTGTATGCCACAAAGGTTGTGTACTTGGTGAGTGGGCTCATGACTGTGGGTGGGATTGGGTGGTTCTTCATGATGAGGTTCTGCAAGTCCAGGAAGATACTCAATTTCAGCGAGGGGGACATTGGCGAGGTCCATGAAGAGGACTGATAATTGAGGCATGCCATTAAGAATCATAGAAGAAATCTGGGTACATGGAAAAGATTTGTCTTATTTAGCTATTTCTCTCCTTCCTAGGCATGTTTCAGATGACCATGCCGTAAATTTGATGGATCTATCAGGAAGCAGATCAGTTCAGGGAGGTGGTTTTTGCAATTTAACTGCAAAATAGAGCCACCATCACCACTTCCTCTCTTTAGTTTTCCGGGATCAGAGATTTGCTTACCATTCAAGCTGTTAGCTTGGCCTTGCCTTCCGGGTTCGGAACCGGGTCCGGTTCGCGACTGTACCTCGCCATTTCAACAGTTGCTCATCGCGATTTTGGTTCACTTTTGGTTTGGTTTTAGTGACACAGTGTTGCTTAATTTTCGCTCTCAGTACATTGACGCGGTGAAAATGTTATTCCAGTTCATAGGATTTAATCTGAGCATCTTTCTGATGCAATGTTAAATAATTGTAAAATTGTTCCGCCATTGGATGCAACGGTGCATTGTCTATAATGTAATTGAGCTCCAAAGGCCTGGATGAACGTCCCAATTCGATTTTATTGAATTGATAGGTGCCACCCGAACCAATCTCAGAGAAAAATTAGAATGAATTCGTAACATAGCCACCGCGAGCCGAACAAACCTGATTCGGATCGAGTTCAAAACATGGGCACCTCCAAAAATGGTTTGGTTCATTTTGGGTCTCGTGAAAACTCGACCAGAATAGAACTATTGATACCCTACCAACTCTCTCTCTGTCTCTCTGTGGTGGTGACACTGGCGATTGGATGTGGATCAACAACGGGTGACAGCAGCAACGGGTGTTCATGGGCTAGGCTTTTGGTACAAATGAATGATAATTGGATGGACTGAAACAGTTCGATCTGATCTAGGTCAGTTGAGGTTAGGGCTTGGAATTGCAAAATAATTAGCACTTGAAGACTCAAACATGTCATTTTCGAACAATTAACATGACATTACGTAAGATTCGAAAGATTCCGATCGAACATATGCAACTTTTACTGTTCATAACTTTGGATCTAACGTCCAACATTTCAACATGTTTATTATTGCTTTTCTGAATGTGGCCCCTGGTCAGCCCCGTCGATTCTCGATTCGGTGCTCTATTTTGCTTGATTAGGGTTTTTAGTATGTAAGCAAACTAAGAGTGCGTTTGTTTCGTGAAAAAATTAATGATAAAGGAAAATGTTTTCTAAAAAATCATTTTCCAAGGAATACGCTTCATTTTTCTTCGTTTGGTGATCCACAATGGAATTGTTTCTGATGTTTGGATTTTATTGGAAAATGATTTCAATTTCATGATTTTATTTCAAGAAAAAAAACTGAATTTTTTTTATATTTTTTATCTTTTAAAAAATCGAATTTTTAATTATTTTATTTCTCTTTTTTGAAAAAAATTGGAATTTTACTTTTACTTTTTCCTCCTTTCTCTTCTCTTTTTCTTTTTTCTTTTCTTTCCTTTCCTTTTTCCTCCTCCCTCCACCGCGACCGGCCAGCGATGGCCACCGGCGAGCTCAAGGCTTGTCCGACGATGGCCACAGGTGAGCTCGGGCTCAGCCAAGGCCGGCGACCTCGAGCTCAACTGGATCGGCCAAGGTCGGGCTCGTCTGGATTTGGCAAGCCGCGAGCTCGCCGACCTCGGTGGAGCTTGGGCTCGCCTAGATTGGCCGAGCCTCAAGCTCGCCGGTTTGCATCTTGGCGGTCTCCGGGCTGCTAGCCTAGGGCGAGCTCGAGGCTCGCCGGCCTTGAGTAAGTTCGAGGTACGCTGGCCTAGGGCGAGCTCGTCGCCAGAGGCCGCAAGCTTGTTGGCCATGTAAGAAGAAAAAGAAAAAGGAAGAAAAGAAAGAAAAAGAAAAGGAAAGAAAAGAAAAGAAAAAGAAAAAGAAAAAGAAAGAAAATAATAAATAAGTCAATTTTTAAAAAAATAAATAAAAATTTGAATTTTTAAAATAAATATTTTTATAATAACAAACGTTTCATTAACTAAGGACCTGAGCCTAAGCGCCGAGGACCTGCGCATGGCCTTTGTGGACTCGAGCCGGAGGATCGGTACTAAAGCTCGAGCATTGGGGACCTAAGCACGGCCTTTATAGACCCGAGTTGGACGTCGGAGCATCGGGTACGAGCACCAGGGGTTCGGGCTCAGCCTCGATGGACCCGGGCGTGGGCACCAGGGGCCCGGGCCCTAGACAACGAGGTCTCGAGCCCGGCCGCCGAGACCTTGTCATGAATGTCGGGACTTGAGAACCAACGTTGGGCTTTTCGTGCCCAAACATAGAGTTTTGGGTTCAAATACCGATAGCCAGTTATACTTTGTAAAACGTTTTTTGATTCTTTCAAAGGTGAAATTATTTTCCTGAATTTAAGCTTTCGTAAGGAAACATTTTTCATTGACTAGGAAAATATTTTCCATTGACTCATTTTCTTAAGCAAACCAAATGCCGGAAAATGAGAAAATTATTTTCCCGGAAAATGTTTTTCGCGAAACAAACGGACCCTAATTCCCATATTTCTTTTTTAGTTTTATCTTTTGCTTTTTGAAGTACATTTTTTTCACTTTTTTTTTAATTAAAGCTGGAGGTGGCAAAATCCTATATTTTGACTCATATATGTTAAGTTTGGTGAAATATAAGTTGCCTAAATTTAAAATATGGATTAAAATGAGTCTAATAAAGCAAAGCCCAATTAATAATGGATCTAATGGATTTGCAAAGGACCCAATTCCAACCTATTTAATCAAAGAGCAATGCCCTCCCTGCTGCTCGACCTCTTCGACTTCTGGTTGCCTGCGGACGGGAGTAGCTCTCCTTCCCCTCCTCCGGCTCTAGGGCTGCCACCATTCCCGAAGTGGCAGATCCTAGCATTAAGCGACAACTCCGTCACAATGATGCTCGAGCTCTTATGTGATTGTGGACCCACATGATCACAGAGGCTAACCCAAGTCCCTCAAAGTTAGGCCCGAAACCCCTATGTCCGTGTCGACTCCATAGAGGTCGGGCCCAACTCCCTTAAGGCCGGCCCGGAGTCCCATGTACCCATACCCATGCGTGTGCCCAGGACTCCCATGCTTGTGCTTGGGTTCATGAAGGTCGAGCCCGAAACCCTGGTGACCGTACTCTGGTCCTCGGTGGCCATGCTTGGGTACCTATCTTCTTAGCTCAAGTATCGGCACCCGGCCCCAGGTCCATGGAGGCTAGGCCTGGGTACCTAGCTTCCACGCCCAAGTCCATTGTGACCGAGCCTAGTTCCTCAGTTGCCGAGCCCAAGTCCACAATGGCCGAGCCTAGGTCCCTCAAGGATGGGCTCAAGACCTGGTGCATGTGTCAGGTCCACAGAGGCTGGTCCCACATCCCTCATGGCTAAGTCGAGATCTCGGTGCTCGTGCCTGGGTCGCCAAACCTTTGGTGCTCGTCCCTCATCCATCGAGGCAGGCCTAGGTCAATTAAGGTTGGACCCAATTACTCGATGGCCGAGTCCACGGAGTTTGAGCTCGAGTCTCTTGAGGCTAGGCCCGAGACCCCGGTGCCCATACCTAGGTCCTTGGCAGCCATGCTTAGGTACCCAGTTCCTTTGCCTAAGTAAGTGGCGCACGATAGGGGTGAGCGCGGTTCCAGGGTAGAACCGGGAATCGGAGAACCGGACCCGGTGGATCCGGTTCGGTTCCAGGTTCCATGGACAGAGGGTCCGGTTCCCGGTTCCACATTTTTAGGAACCGGAACCTGGAACCTGAACCGGAACTGAAACAAAAAACATAAACTTAGTATTTAGAAACTCTAATTCCCAAATGCTCCCTTCTCCTCCTGAATCACACCCGATCCTCCATCATCGTCCCTCCAAAGCTCCCTCCCGCTTCCGCTTCTACCTCGCTCCTCGCTTCCGCTTCCGCTTCCGCCTCGCCCTCGCTCCCGCTTCCGCTTCCGCTTCCACGGTTCTCTCCCACTTCCGCCTCGCTCCGCCTTCTTCGCCGCAGGTCCTGTGATCTACCCACGCGGATTTGCTCCGATTATTCGGGCTCGCCACCGTCTTCCTCCTCTGAAGCTCCGTCGCTCTGGTACGTAACGTCTTCGAACAACCCCTCGCCATTCACGCCATAAGTTATGGCGTGTGTCTGTGTTGTTTGTATGGAATGGAATTGTATGTTTGATTTAGATTTTTCCTTTTCCATTTTGGACCAATTTGGCTGAACCATACTCTCCAGCTTCGACCCCGCTTTCAAGAACCATGCTTTCTCGCCTATAGATTCGAAAGGAAGCACTTTCGCTCTCAGTGGCCTCTCCGTCTTGGTTTCAAGCCATTGGAACAAGCTTCCGCAAGACCGTAGAAGAAAGATCCGAAGCTCCGGGAGCTGGAGACTTGTCTTTTCTCTTGCTCCAAGGGCTGTTCTGTTTCGGATTTTACCCATCTTCTTGCTGATTCTTGAGGTGACCCAAGTGTTTTTAAGTGTTTGGTGTCACTGATTTAAGTCGAGGTACGGAATGTAGATCTTTTCGGTTGCTGAACTGCAGATTTTGGTGCTTGTCTATGGTTTTGTGGGTCTGTTTGTTTTGATTTGAGATTTGCTTCTGGGAGTTTTGGGCTTGCTGTTCTTGGTGATTCTAGCTGGTTTAAGAGGTCAGTTAAAGCTCAAAACTTCCTAGTCCTTAATTGAGAGCTGCAACTCCGAAGTGAAGTGGGTTTGCAAGAATTTTTGCTTGAGATGTGAGTGAGTGGAAACTCAAGAATGCGGAGGCAATTATATGTTGGTTTCAATTGGCAGTTCACGAATTGTATGAGCACAATTGGCTCGGGATGGTGTCCTTTTCGAAACGTGATTTTTCCTTTTCGATGTTGTTCGGTTGTAGTTCGGATTAGGTAAGCAATCAAATCTTGGTGTGGGTACTGGATTGAGCTACTCCTGGTGGTACTGGAGGTGTCAAGACTATTGAGATCAGTGGAAATTAGCCATTGATTTCTTTCAGTGGAACAACTGTATAATTAAGAGCCTATGCGGCATTGGCTTCTTTTGTATGAGTCTTTAGAACTTTTGCCTTGTCTTGTTCCTTATTTGGCTTTTGTTAATGGATGTTGCAATTATCTAGAATTCTCTGGTCGCGGTCTTTCATATAAGAACACAGAACTAGGAACAAGAATTTGCTAAGACTTGTATATCGTGCTTGAAGGGGACAGCTTTTGTTATTTGTTTGATAGCCGAAATGCAATATTTCAGTTTCTTTGTGTTTTGATCTTTAGTTTTTTACTAGCTGCTAGTTATAGTTCTTGCCTATCAGATTCTAAGC